GGAGAAAGAATTATTAGAGAAAGAAAAGGTTGTTTTTTGTTATAGTTAATTTCATTTGATACGCGAACGAATGAATGATGAAGGGTTGATTGATGGATTGAATGGTTGAATGAATGAACGAACGAACGAATGAATAGATAAATTATTAAATGAATGAATGGATATATGAATTCGTAGTAGATTTAATAAATAAACGAATGAATGAACTGATAAATAAATGATTAAATAAAAAATGAATGAACGAACGAATGACTGAAAGAATGAATGAGTTTGTTAATGAATCACCAGATAGATAAGTAGATAGGAAGATGAATGGATGATTCAAATTAAATGAATAGAATATTTAAATAAATTAGCACATAAATTTCATTTTTTTAATTTATTATTTCAGGCAATACAATCCAAAGATCATAAAAGAGTTAAAGGTAGCAAAAATGAAATTGAAGAGATGAGGCGCAAAGATGAATTAATCATCAAAATACAAGAAGATAAGAGGAGGTTGGCTCAGCAGGTGGCCGAGTTGACTAATAATGGTTGGTTGGTTGGTTGATTGATTGGTTGATTGATTGATTGGTTGGTTGGTTGGTTTGTTGCTTGGTTGGTTGGTTGATTGATTGATTAGTGAGCCGGGGGTTGACCGTAAGTTAATGGCTTCATTAGTTGGTTCATTCGTTGATTGATTGTTTTTTTTTTTGATAGTCAATTGACAGACTAGTTGATTGGTTAATTGATCGATCGACTAATTAACTTAATTTAGCAGTAATTAATATTATTTTTCCTCACCTCACACCTCAGAAAAGGAGCTGGTGATGGAGATAGACAGACTGAGACACCAACGCATCCACCTGCAAGGCAACGCCAGCCAGAACAATAGTAATAAAAATAATAAAATGAATAAAAACAACCACAACAATAATAATAATAATAACGGTTTAGCCCTTTGTAGCAATAAATCATGTAGGAATGGGTACAAAGAGGTTGACGCCATTGTTAAAAATTTAGAACGAGAGAAGGAATACTGGATGAATGAAGTGAGGATGACGACGATGCTGGTGATGATAACAACAGTGATGATGATGGGGATAACAACAATGATGATGATGATGACAATAATGGTGGTGATGATGGTGCTTAATCTTGCCTCGTGGTGTTTTGATTGTAATAATGAAAGTAATAATGAACTGAATTGTATTGATAATTTACTGTGTGAATTAATTAATTGAAGAATTAAATAATTAATTAATTAATTGCCCAGTTAACTGATTGGCTGATTAATTAATTAATTAATTCATTCATTAATTCATTTGATTAAAACGTTGTCGCTAGGTGGACACACTCCACAAAGTTCTTTCAGTTGTTTCAAGGAACAACAGCCTCACAATTACAAACGAAAAACTCCGAAACGCCAACAAACAACAACAAAATACTCAACAAAAAATAACAACTACTACTACCAGTACCGCCCGCAACAACAAGATCATTACTAGTACCACAAACGATTGTTGTGATGATGATAATGATGATGGTGGTGGTGGTGCTGGTGACGATGTTGAGAGAGATTTGGAGATGGTGAGAAAGGAGAGAGATGAGATGAAGATGATGATTGAAAAATATGAGAAACATATAAATGAGGTGAGTTTAGTTGATGGGGATGATGATGAAGAAGATGATGATGGTTGTAATAATGATGACGTTGATGTTGATGATGATGATGATGGTGTATTCGGTAACCGCATTCGACAATCATCATCGTCTTCATCATTATCTTTATAATTCTCGTCATCGTCATCTTTTAAGATCCAAGCCAATGTTGACCTACTATCACAAGAGCGAGATCACGTAAATATGCTGTACAGCCAAGTTAGTTAGATTTATTCATTGAGAGGATAATTTTGATTAGTTCATAACAAGTTTATTATAATTTATTCTAATAAATTATGCTAATTTATTGTAATAAATTATGCTAATAACGTTATTCTTCCGAAAATAAAATGAATCCACGAAGGCTAAAAGTGAACTCAGCGAACGAAGGAGGTTTGACATCGAGAGGTTGAAAGCAGCGTCGTTATCGTCAGCACCATCAGCATCATCATCATTGCAGATGGCGTTGATGGCGAAGGAGAGAGATAGTGCGATAGAGAGGGTGAATGAGTTGATGAGAGAGAGGAATCAGCTGCATGAAAAGATTGCGGTGAGATTTATATAGCTGGGATAGCTAACACACACAGATACAAATACACACATAGATACTAATACACATAGATACAAATACCCACATAGATACTAATACACACAGATACAAACACACACTGATACAAGCACACACAGATACAAGCACACACAGATACAAGCACATACAGATACAAACACACAGATACACACATAGATACTAACACGCACAGATACAAACACACACACAGATACAAACATAGATACTAACACACACAGATACAAACACATGCAGGCATAAACAACACACACAGACATATGTTTATGCAACCTCAGACACACACATACACGCATACACTGTTTTTATTTTGTCTGTGACCTATGCGTGTATTAATGTTGCCTCTGTTGTCACTGTTATTGTAATTATTATTATTATTATTTGTTGTTTGAAGAATTATAGTAATAATTATTATTATCGATTTTAATTATCTAAATTAATTCTAACAAAGGAATTAAATGAAATGATGAATTTGGAGAAAGAGGACCATGAAGACCAACTAAACAGACTGAAAGAATCCTTACTCCAGGTAAGTTATTATTATTAATTATTTATATTGTTGTTGATGTTATTGTTTTTGTTGTTGATGTTATTGTAAGTTATTATTATTAATTATTATTATTGTTGTTGTTTTTGTTATTGTAATTTATGTAATGTTTGTTGTTGTTTTTGTTATTGGTGTTATTTTTATTCCACAGTCAGAACAGTCAGAGTCAAGTCTGAGAGAGAAGTGTATGAAATTGGAGGGAATGATAGAGGGAAGGAATGCGAATTGCGACGAGAGGATGAATAAAATGAGAGATGAAATCAACCAGCATAAGGCTACCGCTTCACAGATGAGGTTCGTTTGTGGTTGGTAGGTGACGAGATGGTGTAATAGTTAGAGCGCTTGGTCCTGCTGCTGCAGTGGCCGGGTTTGAATGCAAAGATATCTCTGCCAACGTGACGAGATGGTGTAATAGTTAGAGCGCTTGGTCCTGCTGCTGCAGTGGCCGGGTTTGAATGCAAAGATATCTCTGCCAACCTGCCAATCTACCTACAACATGCTTATTTATATGCGATCTTTCTCTTTTTCTCTCTCTCTCAATGTTGGAATGAATTTGGTGATGAAATCATCCTCATCTTAATTGGTCTGACCGTTTTAATTCTATATCACAAACTATACCATTGCTTATCTTTCGTCATCAATTTCACCGTCATCATCTGTCATCATAACTTTTTTCATCTTTGTCGTCATCATCATTTTTCATCATCATTTTCTCATCATCATCATTTTCATCATCATTTTCTCATCTTCATCATCAGGATGATAGCTGATGAAGCAGAGCGACTGACGAGAGAGGCCAACTCATCCTTAAATCTGTCCCAGGCCGAACTGAAGATGATGAGAAATAGGGCGGACGATCTCGAGAGAGAGGTGGAGGAGTGGAGAGAGGATAGTCGCAGGAAACAGGAAGAAGTTTGTAGTAGAAAGATTATAAATAAGTCAATCACAATCAATCAATCAATCAATCAACAAATGAGACCTACTTTTTTTTTTAGGTCAGCCAGTTAAAAAAGTCTCTGAAATCTCTTGATAGAGAGAAGGACGAGTTGCAAAGTTTGATTGACGAGAAGGCGGAGTCTTATGCCTCTAGAGTAAGGAAGATGATGATGATGATGATGATGGTGGTGATGGTATAGTATTTTTTCAAACTTACATGTTCTCAAACATTCATTCTTTATAAATCCCAGGAAAAATTGTTAGCCGATTTAAGAAGAAATGCCAGTGAATCCGAAAATGTTATATGGTAAATATTAATAAGATTCATCCGTCCATTCATTCATTCATTCATTAATTCATTCATTCATTCGCTTATTCATTCATTCATTTATTATTATCGATCACTCATCTTTTTCTTTTATTCATTTATTCAATCATTCATTCAATCATTCATTCATTCATTTATTCATTCATTCATTCAAATTTTTTTAAATAAATTTTCAACTTCAAAAAAAGCTTCAAATATTATGTTGAAAATTTTTTAGTCTGAAGTTTCTACGATTGACATGGATTGCACATCTGGTTAAATTTAGCAGAAATAGTTCATTAAAAAACATTAATAAATTTTATATACCAACCATCCAGTCATTTAATTAATTAATCAATTAGCTTATCAATCATTTAATCGATCAATCATTCAACTAACCAACCAATCGCCTAATCAATCAATCACTCTTTCAACCAACCAACCAATCGCCTAATCAATCAATCACTCATTCAACTAACCAACCAACCAATCAGCAAATTAAAGGAGGCCTTGTTATCAAAGGACAGAGAAGCTTCCTCACTAAAACGGAAGTACGACTCGTTGGCTGGAGAACTTGATGACGTCAAAAAAGGTAGGGATGGGCTGATGAAAGAGAATAAAAGACTGCAGGATGACATCACCGCCGTCACTAAAAATAACCAAGTATTTTCATTTTTATATTGTTATATTAACATTCATCATCTCCTATTTAAAATTATTATTATTTTTATTATTATAATAGTTATTATTATTATTATAGTTATTATTATTGTTATTATTACCGTTGATAACAGATCTTGAATAGGGATTTCCAGGACGCCCTGAACGCCCGTGACCTTTCATCAGGTCAGATGCAGGAGTATTTAAATGAGGTCAAGAGATGTCAGGAGTTACTTAGTTCAAAAGTTCGTCATCACCATTTTCATCATTGCTATCATTATCATCATAATTATCTTATCATCATCATTATCATAATGATTGTCGTTATAAGTTTATTCTATATCCAGCCCGACACATCACTCTGAAGGACCAACAGCAATACAGACACAATAAATACACCTAACGTACATTGATAAACCTCAATCACTGCACTTCATTCACTTTAGAACATGTCATTTTGGTGTTATATTTTTTCTTCTTCTCGTCATCGAAATGTTCGTCCTTTTGCGTTTCAACCTGGTTCGAGTCGTCGTAATAATATTAATAATTGTAATTAATTGTAATTAATTAATAATAATTGTCGTAATAATTGTTGCCGTCGTGATGTTTAAAATATAGGAAAAAGAAAAGAACGACGCCATCCAACAATACGCTCTACTCATCGTCCAATCAGAGAGGCTGGAATCAATAAATAGGTCACTGGAGACGGAGCTAGCCAGTCAGAAGATGAGAATTTTAAATGGGGATGCTGAGTTGAGGAGAGCGTTGGAGAGATGTAACAAACTGGAGAGGGAATTACAAGGGGTTATCTGTTATTTTTATCATATTAAAATGTATTATTATCACTTTTATGATGATAATAATCATTCCGTCAAGCAGTTGTCACCCATGTATGTATATAATATTTATGACGCACTTATGTAACAAGACACTCTTAATTGCTCGAGTTCTACATGTACTGATATGATTGATTGCGACATTGCTAAGAATGACGTCAACATATTCACGTCTTAATTGACGACAATCAAACGAACCAGCTAACCAATCAAACGCCAGTCAATCGAATGTTTGTATAAGTTAGTCAACCACATAAAGTTTCCACCTTCACCTCTTCTACCATCTACAGACAACAGACATGGAACAGAGGTACAGCGTGCAGTTGAACCAGGTATCCAAGCGATCATCATCTCTTGAAGAGGCAGCAGTGAGGTTGGAGAACGACAAGCGAGTACTTCGCAGTGATCTGGAGGCGGCTCGTGAACTTTGCTTTAAGTTGGAATGTGATAAGGAACAACTGCTGAAGAAGGTTGCTCTCAAGTCTGTTGCTAATGAAGAGGTGAGTGAGTGAGTGAGTGAGTGAGTGAGTGAGTGAGCGAGCGAGCGAGTGTTGTTTTGTTGATGATATTAATGATAATTTTGATGATGATGCCATTATGATGCAAGAAATGATACATTAACGTATAATAGGAGCATTAAACATTTTATAACAGCTAATAACAAGCACTACAGTTGACGTCATTTTTGAAAATTGATCAGTGTTAATCATTTTAGTTCTAGTAAAAAACGATAACTTCAACTAAATTTCCCCTCGACCAGGTTGAAGCACTTTTAGAGGACAGGCAGCACGAAGTAGAGGCGCTGAAGGTGCAGTTAAACCAGGCAAAACAGTCGATCGACAACTTGGAGAACGTTCTGCAACTGAATCGAAGTAGGGAGTGGCAGTTGCAAGTTACTCTACAGGAGAAACAATCCGAACTACAACTACTCAGAGATCGAGTTGGACAATTTGAAGTTAAATTGTTAGTTGCTTGTTCCTTTATTTCATTTGTATGTCAATGGTTGTTGGCTTCTTGGTCAATCAAATATTTGATTGATTTACTGACTGATTGATTGGTGGGTTGGTTGATCGATCGATTGATTGATTGATTGATTGATTGATTGATTGATTAATTGATTGATTGCTACAAAACTGAATGAATTACCAACCCCTTGAACCGACCAATTACAAAGATCAAACCAGAGTAGAGAGTTGCTGCAACACAGAAGTCGATCCATCGAGATGGAAGCTGACGTGGAAAGATTGAAGAGGCAGATCATTAGCGAAAAATTTGAAAGGTGGGTGTGAGTTTAGTTGGCTTCAAATTGATTTCTATACATAGTTAATTATATAAACTACTAATTATTCACGTTATAATTATTATAATTAATTTATATTATTATAATTATTATTAATTATTATAAACGACGAAACGCAAGGGAGAGAGCAGTGCAAGAATTGAAACGCCACAACCTTCCACTGCCCGGCGAATCTAGGCTGGGCCCCATCAGTCCAATCAGGTGAAGCCTACTTAACATTCGTGTGACCTATATACATCTGATTAATATTCATGTCACCTATATACAACAAATTAATATTCATTTAGTCTAATTTAAATTTTTGTGATCTATATACATGTACATCTAATTAATATTCGTGTGACCTGTTTACGTCTAATTAACGTTTGTATGACTTATATACATCTATTGATTAATAAATAAAATGAGTAATTTTAATTAAGATCTATTTTTACGCTTTCTTTCAAAAAGAAAAAAATAATTTCCTAATTCGTTGCTGTTCTATTTTTACTTACTAGCTTCTAGATTCTATTTTCTATGCTAGTTTTTCTTTCTATTTTGTTTGGAAAAACGCTCCATGAAAACTGTTTCCAATTGGCTACGAAACAGCTTTTATAATTGCTCAGAAAAGTAGGCTGTTCATGTAACATAACGGATAATATAAATTTCGATATTTATCTATTTATTAATTTATGTTATTAAAAAGTCTTTCCAGAAGAATTCACGACGGAAGTGGGGTTAAATTTAAAAGTAAACTTATAAGGCAATTATGACGTTTTAAGAGAAAATATGTGATGATATGATGATAATGGTGATAGTGTGGGGATGATGATGAAAAATATGATTAGGGAGGAATGATGACGATGATAATGGTGGTGGTGATTAGTGTAGGAGGCTAACAGATGACCATGATTAGGAAAGGATGATGACGACGATGATGATGATGATGACGACAATGATGATGACGATTAGGATGATGATGATGATGATGATCATCATCATCATGATCATCATCATCATGCTGGTGAGTATTATTAGAGATCTCTAGCCTATTAATAATTTAATCTTCAATTTATTATCACTATTTTTAAATTGATTCACCTATGTACCAATTTTATGAATCACCATTTTTGGCTTGTCACCATCTTCATCGCCAGCATCTTCACCACCATCTTCATCACCATTTTCATCGCCAGCATCGTCATCACCAGCATCACCATCATTGCACGTGACAGGCGGGGTTCTCTTTGCTTTCAAACCCGATCACGGCAACGTCAGGACCAGACGCTTTGACAATTACGCTATCTCGCCGCGATATCTGACATTATTTTACCTAGATGTGTGTGTCGTGTGTGCGTGAATCTAGGTAATCCATAGACTTCTATACAGTATATTATATGGATGTTCATGAGGTAATCGTACACAAATGTATGTGTTGTGTGTGTGTGTGGGTGTGTTGTGAATGTGTGTGTGTGTGAATGTGTGTGTATGTGTGTGTGTGACTTATGATTGAAATGACTTACATATATCTGGATTGATGAAGGAGTGATTGAATGAATGAATGAATAAATGAAGTATATTCGTTATCTTTCAAATTTAATTGCGGTTGATAGCGTTCTGTGACAGTAGGTTAACGTCTCGATTATAATAATAATAATAAATAATAATAATAATAAATAATAACAATAATAATAACGTCGATACCTGGCAATTGAGATTGAAGATTGATGTTAATACACTGTAAATTACGTATATTAGAGCAAAACTCATATTGCTAATTATGTCTTTCAATTTTTTAGGCAATCTACTAGTTAAAGCATTTTCGTAGAGTTAATAACAGTGTCAAGAATAATGGATGTTTGTTGTGATATTTCAAAATTTAACCAGTTTCCTTAATTAATAATTGTTGCTGAAGCTGTTCTGTTGTTGTTGTTGTTTTGTATTTGTTTGTGTGTATATTGTATGTGTATATTTGGCGTATTGTGTATGTGTATTTGTATATATATGTATTTGTATTATTATTTTTATTATTGTTATTATTATCATCACATAGTTTAGCACTATATTGCTTGATCGGAATCATTCACTGAATTCTTAATTTAATGGCGTGATAGTTAATTATATCATTCATTTATCACTGATTATACGTGTGTGTGTGTGTATATATATATATATATAAATGTGTGTGGTGTGTGTGTATATATATATGTGTGTGGTGTGTGTGTATATATATATGTGTGTGGTGTGTGCGTGTGAATATATGTGTGTGTGTATATATATGTGTGTGTGGTGTGTGCGTGTGTGTGTTTGTGCCCGTAAATATACAATGTGACAATTTTTTATATTAATTTTCAATAACATTTACACTAAACAGTGCCAAGACTGCGACAACAATCGCCAACAACAACAACATCGTCAGCAACAACAACAACAGTCACAACAACCGCAACACCAATTTGAATGAGACTTTTTCAGATTATAATATCTTTGTACGTGTTTGTGTATGTGTGTGTGTGTGTATTGATGTGTGTATGTGTGTGCGGGAGAGAGTGTGTATATCAACTAACATGTGTGTATACGTGTGTTCTTCCAATGAACTTTCTATCTGCTTCAATTCATTTTTTCATATGCATTAGTTTTATTTCTCGCTGTTACATTACTTGTTAATAATGTTTCCACATCATACACCATATGCAGTCTCCATTAATGAACGGCTCAATGAACTCGTCGTCTTCTTCTTCTTCATCTTCATCGCCGCCATCAAATATCATACACCCAACATCAGCATTGACGTTGACACGGGCAAAGTTAACAAAAACTTTAACAACAACTTTAACATCAACTTTAACAGCAACTTTAACAGCAACACCAAGTGTGTTACCAAGTGATTCGCCAAAAATTTCGCTAGCACCAACTACACCAATGGCATTAACTTCGGGGGTTAAACCAGTTATCTCGCTTGCAACATCAACTCCAGTGACATCAATAACATCAACAACTGCGAAACCATCAACATCGGCAGTAACTACTACTACTGCTACCGCAGCTACTAGTACTACTACTACTATTGCTGCTACTACTGTTGTTGTTGCTTCTGCTGCTGTTGCTGCTGCTACTACTGCTACTACACCTAACAACATGTCATCAAGTATTGCAGCAGTAATGACATCAACAAACGTGACATCATCGTTAGCAACGAACACACCGACATCAATGCAGACATCAACTAATATTTTTACGAGCAATGCAAACGACTCATCAATCTCGTCTTAGATATATCATAAAGATGACATCAACAACAACAACAACAACAGCAACAAGATGACGACAACAACAACAACATATAATCACAACACAAACCACGATGACCATAATTAGATATTTTAATTACAATAAAATAACATTTAAAATAATAATTAACATCATTCCCATCTCAACAACAACATTAATGATGATAATAGCTACAACATTAATAACACTAATTATTATTGTCATTATTATTTTTTATTATATTATGAATAATCATTTTTATTTTTATGATTTCATGTGGGATATTAATTGTTTTAATGTTATGAAACATGTTCATTAAATGGAGGTTCAGTGATACAATAATTTGAGCATATTTGTTCGTACCACCTATGTTTCTGTCTTTAGTTGTGTGTGTGTGTGTGTGTGTGTGTGTGTGTGTGTGTGTGTGTGTGTGTGTGTGTTACTGTGTCTGTGTGTGCGCGCGCTTCCGTGTATGTGTAGTTTTTGTCAGTCTTTTGTCTGTGTGTGTGTGTGTATTTGTGTTTGACGTTCATTGATTATTTGTTGACAACTTTCACTTACATATCAAGAACATTTTTTAATATTTTTCACTCGTTGGTTCATTTCCTGCCAAATGAATATTTGATGGACCTCATGATTGGTCGATTGATTGATTGTTTGATTAGTTGGTTGGTTGGTTGGTTGTTGGGTTGATTGTTTGATGGATTGAATGCTTGATTGATTGGTTGGTTGATTGATTGAAACGAAATTTTCTACATTTCAGTATTTAGACACATTATTCCTGATTACTATATTACTTAATTAATCTTTTTGTATCAACTTGTCTCGTCATTTTTATACTATATAACTACTTTTTTAATATTTTTCATAGGATATACTGTTAATAGTAACAATGTATTGCATATTGTATGTTGATTATATTATTCCGTATATTTATTATGGATTCGTAAATGTTTATTTAAAATTCGTTTCATTGCTTGTTTGATTTTAGTTAGACTGGAAATGTTTTAACATGTTTCCGTCTCAAATTTTGATTGCCAAAAAGTTTAGGTTTTTTTTTAAATAAATTTTGTGAAAAATGACTTTATTTTTATTTAATTTTATTTTAAAAAATATTTAAATTAACGCTTATGCTGATATAAATCAGTAGAGTTTGAATACAGTGACAGGAGGGTGCCAAAATTTTAAAAATGTTTCAATTTTGACGAGGGTCCATGAAATTACAAAATTTAAAGATACTAAATATGTTTAAATTTTATGCATATACATGAAATAAATCAATTGAAAAATAATCAAAATGAATAAAATTAAAAAAAATGAATAAATATTTATTAATAAACTATAAAAATGTAAAATTCAATCAATTTGACGAAAAATTATTCACGAAAATCGAAGAATGACACCAGACTCTAAAGCGCCCTGAAAATGTGCGACCATTTTTTCTCATTGGATCGCATGGATATATATATTATATATATATATATATTTTTACAATATTCTATAAAAAAAAAAATAAAAAAAAAAATTATGGTCTATTACCAACATATATATATATATATATATCTATGTTTGGATATATATATATATATATATATATCTATGTTTGGATATATATATATATATATATATATATATATATATATATATATATATATATATATATATATATGTTTGGATCGTGCGAAATAATTTTCCAAGGTAAGAAAGTTTATTCACACAATATAGTGCTGAAATAAATGATGATTAAAATAATACAACCACCAATAAACATAAAAATACACATACATAATACACCCAATACACACATACATTACACTCATAATACACATACAAACATATACAACACAAAACAACAACACAGTTTCATTTATTCATCAATTCATTTATTCGTTCATTCATTTACTCACTAACTCATTCATCCATTCAGATATATGTATGTCACTTCAATAATAAATCCAAATGTAACTGGGTCAGATTATTGAATTAACACCTTCGTCAATCAAAACAATAATGAAAATTATATCTCTCGTTTCACAATACCATCTAGCCGCCATCATTTACACCACACAACACACCACAGAACAAACATCAACAGAGCGTGTGTTTGTTTGTTTATATGTGTGTGTGTGTGTGTGTTGCGTGTGTGAGAATCTTGGTGAAATAACAGTATGTGGCGAGATAGTGTAATTGTCAAAGCGTCTAGCCCTGTCGTTGCCGTGACTGGGTTTGAAAGCAAAGAG